TTTCTTTGAAAAATGTGAATATAACAACTCTCTTTCATCTGTGTAAAGTTTACATTTTGTGATGTAATGAATTTCATCCTCAAGTAGGTTGCATTTAATACATTATCTGTCTTCTGTTTTTATTTTTGGTCTTTTGTGCCTTCCCATCTCGATGTTTAGTTTATGGGCACTTAGTCTCAATTTTGCTAATAGACCAATGTTTTCTTTATTATGAAGGATTTTAATGTATGGTTCAGTATTTATATTTTTCTTCAGTAATGTATAAGTTCTTAGTTTTGAATTTAGTCTTTGATGATCTTGGTTCTATTTATAATTGTAATATTCATTCACTTTTTGTTTGAACTGGTATTTTTTAATTGTTTCTAAATTCTTAATATCATACAGTTGTTTTATTTTATGCAGATTCATTAACCATGTGTCATTATATTTGTTTTGTTGTTGATCTTTTATTGCATCATATACTAGACTGATTGGGCCATTCTTAATAATATTTTGGTAGTATATGATTGCATTCAGTTGTATTTTTGCTAGTAATGGTAGTCGTAGTATGGTAATGGTAGTATATATACCTGTATTTGACCCCTGAACTTACATATATTATCGAGGTATATACAACCGGGATGCGTGAACTTTGGGAGTCATCAAGTCAAAGGTCGAACAAATTTACGATGATATATTTATCAAAATAGTATTCTCGGGGGCGGACATCCGGGCATTTTCACCGCCTGGCAACTCTCGCGGTAAAAACAAAAGCCAAAAACTCGCAGAAAACGGTACTTTGGGATGATTGTTGAGACTCCTCTGAACAGTGTAACAAGATTAGCTCTACGTGTGTAACATATATAAATTTGGTTGTTCGGGATTACTTCAAATTTGAGTTTGTGTTGTTTTCTTGAATTTTCACCGGCTCCACCGGCGTTCCACAGCAGCGCGCACAGAGCCCATAGAAATATATTGAAGATAATATTTGGTAATCGTAGTCCTAAATAACTATTAAAAATAGCTAGACGTTTCGAGCAATGGCTCTTTATCGATAGCATAGATGCAAATGCGAATACTTTGACACCAATGCGAATATTCTGATAATTTGAAGTGTGTTTGTTTATATTTCTAAAATGTGAATTTACTATTCTCACTGAATTTTACTATCTGTCCATGGGGTG